GCTGAATAAGATTACGCAATTTACTTAAGATCAGACAGCTAGTAAGGGGCAGAGTCAGGATTTCAACACCAGCAGCCTAGCTCTAGAGGCAATGTACTTAGACATTATGCCATCCTGATGCTACTTCCTTTCCTACTTTCCATTTAAAGACAACTGAAAGCTGTAAGCAAAGAGAACATTTCCATGTTCTATAATCCCACCCAGACACAAGGCTCAGAGTGAAAGAGGGAAATGAAGCTCTCAACCTGAGAAAATTCAGTCTTTAAAAAGAGTGATGGGGCATAAATCATGAGCCTGGAACAAATGGGGAGAGCAGTGAGTCAGAGAGAAGCTGCTTCCACTGGGGTTTTAGTGGAAATATCATTTTTTAAATGCAAAGTAAAATATTAGGAAGTTGCTGGGCAGACTAGAACATGGAGGATATGTTCAAAGTTGGAGCAAAAAGGTCGTGTTTTCCTCTTCCCTCTAGGGAAATATGGGAGCTGTGAGAGGCAGCAGTTAAGTTATGGGCAGAAGACAGATACAATGAGTTCATGTGGGAAATTTCTGGTCAGACTAGGTCTGTGGTTCCAAAGGCAAAGACTGCACCTTGGGCGAGATGAATGCCCTTCCTTGTCTTTATCACTAACACTTCAAGTGGCAAACCAGGACATGCTAGCAAGTCAAAGGCCCAAAGAGAGGAGGCCTACTACCTCCTGAACAGAGCTCCACCTGGGCCTGACTCAAGGAACATGCATATGCAACTGAGGAGCCTTTGTTTAATTTCATTTTGAATAGTCCAGTCAATCTTGCTTTCTTTAGGTAAAGAAGTTTTACAGTAACCTCCTTTGTAGTCCTTTGAAGATGAGGATTTGAGAAATCCCAACTCCTAAAGTAGGGGGGAGACAGCAGCAGAATAAGGCCCACAGCCAGACCCAAAGGGGTAGCCCAACCCCTAAATATATATTGTATCTCTCGCTTTCTGCCCACCTCTGCCCCACTTCTCCTCCCTGCACCACTCTCTTCTCCTGCCTGTTCCTCCTATTTCTCCCTTTCTCCCTTTCTCTCTCTCTCTCTCTCTCTCTCTCTCTCACACACACACACACACACTCACAAGCCGTACAGTCACTAAGTTGGCTAGGTAATGTCCAAAGCATTCTGATTGTCCTACTTTTTGTAAATTAAACTTATTTAAGATATTCTAGATGAGTCATCCCTTCCTTTGACTCTTCACTCATAACACACATATCATTCTCACAGGAGGCCGCATGGTGCAGTAGAGTCAGACTTCGGTTCAAAGCCTAACTCTGTCATATGATAGTGGGCTTGGGTTTCCTCATCTGTAAAAAGGGAAGATTTTCCACTTCATAAGGTTGTTGGAGAAATTAAAGAGATAGTATATGAAGCCTTGTGCATAAAAAGCATTTGGTATATATTAATGCCCTTTTGCATAAGAGGTCAAGACTTGCTTGGGTTCTACCTAGAAATCAAAAGCCTTATTTCTGAGCTGGGTTACTTGGCACCTGTGTTATTTCTCTCTCAAAACTACATAATGGTAGAAGTGAAAGAAAAAGTCCTCACCTCCCAGAAAAACTGAAGGATCCAAAAAGAAGTGCTTATAGCAGGGAATGTCCTCCCTCACCTCCTGTATGAACATCTCTCTCCTTTCTCCAGCGTAGGAGAGTCTACAAAGCTAAAAAAGGTAGATACCAAACACAAAGGACGAGGGATGAGAGCTCAGCAAAGGTATCAGGCATTTAAGGTATCAGAGAGCAATATGGGCAAAAGCGAATTTTCTTAATCAGCACAGGATGGTTAGGGAAGAGCATTTATCACTTTGGTTCTTATCCTTCAAGCCATGGGAAAAGCAACAGTGAGTTAGGACATCAGAGACAAAAGCATTTATAGAACTAACACATGCAAACATTTGACAAGTGAGAAAGCTTTATTAAAGCACACATACATGTCAGCGGGGCGGGAAACAAAAGAGCAAGTTACAGCGCAGGATCCCAAGTTATGCCTTCCATTACAATAGCAATCCACACCAAATCAATCTTTGAAAACATTCCTCCATTCAGTTCATAAATACAATAGAATCCATTGTAGCTGCCCTTAATCCAGTGTCTTTATAGGAAATCAGCTAGCAGCTGACTCTGTTGAAAGTGATTTCCACATGTAACTTTGGGTAGAAATGCTTATCGGAATAAAAAGGTCAGTTTGGATCAATGAGTACCAGAAGATGAAACTTAGCTCACCAGACCCTTCTTTGAAAAGCCTCTCAACACACTACGCCCATATAATATGTAGATCAAATTTCGGAAACAATAGGAACTGAAAGCTCACCAGGCAGGAAGTCAGAATAACAGGAAGACTCTGCCTACATTCTCTTAGAGCCCTAAGAGTCCCCAGTCTGGAGAAACACTGGGCCAGTTTAGATAACGCTTGGTTCTTCTGGCTGATACAGTGGGATGTAGACAATGTTCTGTGTGACACAAACACTAAGACACAAACACTGAGGTGTGGTACATGAGGGTGAATATATCTCATCTTTCATTAGCGAAATGAGGAGCTCTCTCTCCAATGACTGCAATGTCGGTTTAAAATGCAGAAAATTCAGCGTAGGCTGTGAGACACTTTTCCCTCAGTCACTGAGGTCCTCTGAGGTCAACTAGAAGCTCTCACTGGGCATGGCCATGACTCAGTCAAAATCCATTATCTAACTAAAGTGCTTTTCTAAAGCAGCCCCATTATAAGGGTCCCCCAAAGGTTTAGTTAAGATGTCTAGAACTGGAAAAAGCTTGGGAATTCTGTTGGCATTTCAAAGAACATCATTAGGCCAAAGCAAGGTGGAAACAGCTTAAAAACTAGAAAAAATAAATTTAAAAGCCAAGTTCCAGAAGTTTATCAAGGTAGAACATAAGTTAAAAGCATAAATCGGAGGAGAAAGAGGGAGGAACTACTCTCCTCTCCCCTACATTCCTCTGTCTTAAGTAACTCAACCCTGTTTCCCAGAGCCTTAAAACCCAGACTGGTCCTAATGCCAAAGGAAGCCAGGGCTTCCTAGGGAAGTAGGAACAATGATAGCAAGACAGAAGATAAAAAGTTGTTTTAAAATATGTTTTTAAGTAAACCTTATAAAGACATAAGAAACAATGGACTCCGAAAATATATGAGATTACACACAGAAACATTTTGAAGAGATGCTTATTTTTGAGACTGTTTTAAAAAGGAGAACAAGTCTGCAACACTCTAGCCAGCATAATGAGATTTGCAGAAAATACATGTTTGTACACACACACAAACACACACACACACACACACACACAATTAAATTATAAATCTTTGCTCTTGGTTTCTTCACTTCCTCTGACTTGCCCTTCCCAGGGCTGGACCTGCAGAAGAGGACAGGGACTCATAAACCCAGCTTCTGCTTGGCCATCGAGGAACGGAGCTGCAGAGTCCCTTCTGCCCAAGACCCTGGGTACTGTCGCATCTTCTGCCACAGGCTCACTTCTTCCCCAGTCGAGTCCATCCAGTCCACCACTTCCCCATTACTGATCCCTGAGGAAAAACACCAGAGGACGCTAAAGAGGGGTCCCACTCAGCCCACCAGGGAAGATGGGTTGTACAGCAAGAGTAGCCACCCCGTAACAGGCAGTTTCCTACGAAGATGGGCTGATGGGCACAGCAGTCTGGGAAATGCTTCCTGTTGACTCTGTACATGTATTTCTATACTCCTGGGACTCTGTCAAGAGACTCTAGTTTGATGAAATCAGATTCCAAATGGCACGCAGTCACTAGAGACTTGCTGTTCTGAGGCTGTTACAGAGTTCTAGTGCCTGACACCTCATGCCAGAGTTACTGCCAACTGTATTTAAACTTTTTTCTTTTTATTTATTTTTTTGAGACGGAGTCTCGCTCTGTCACCAGGCTGGAGTGCAGTGGTGCAATCTCGGCTCGCTGCAACCTCCGCCTCCCAGGTCCAAGCGATTCTCCTGCCTCAGCCTCCCACGTAGCTGGGACTACAGGCACGCGCCACCATGCTCAGCTAACTTTTTTGTATTTTTAGTAGAGACAGGGTTTCACCATGATGGCCACGATGGGCTCGATCTCTTGACCTCGTGATCTCCCTGCCTCAGCCTCTGAAAGTGCTAGGATTACAGGCATGAGCCACCACACCTGGCCAACTTTTTTCTTTTAAAGGTAAACACCTTTCCTCTAGCTGCAGACTCCAGGCCAGAATCGAGGATCATATGTGGCCCCATTCCTATTCTCTTTTATATCACTCATTAATTCAGCAAACATGTATTGAGTGCCTACTGTATGCCAGGTACTCTTTTAGGCTCTGGAGACACTAGTAAACAAAGCAG